CTGGTTGTTGGAAAAACATCAAGACGCTCAACACGAATTCGAGAAGGAGCTCGGCCGAAAAGAGCTACTGCGCTTACAAAACGCCAATCGTATCTATGTTTGAATGGAAATATAAGTGTTTAAAGGGAAATGTGCATAGTATATAATATATTCTTTTGATGCGTCGAAAATTTGTTAAAACTTAGAATGACCATTTTTAATTTTTTAGTTTATTTTACTCTATTTTAGTTTCGATTTCTATACCTCTTAATTTAATACTGATTTTTACTTGAATTTGAATTTCAATTTGAGTTGGAATTTTAATTTTAAGCTTAATTTTAAGTTTTAATTAATTGCTTTTTTATTTTAATTTTAAATTCAATTTTAATTTTTAATTTAATTTAAATTTGAATTTTAATTTTAAATTTGGTTTTGATTTTGATTTTGATTTTGATTTTGATTTTGATTTTGATTTTGATTTTGATTTTGATTTTGATTTTGATTTTGATTTTAATTTTAATTTTGATTTTGATTTTGATTTTGATTTTGATTTTGATTTTGATTTTGATTTTGATTTTGATTTTAATTTTGATTTTGATTTCGATTTCGATTTTGAATTTGATTTTGATTTTGATTTTGATTTTGATTTTGATTTTAATTTTTACTTTTACTTTTTATTTTAATTTTATTGTTATATTATGTTTTGTTATTCCATTTTATTTTGTTTACTTTATTTTATATAATTTTTTATATTATATTTTTATTATATTTTATTCTTTTTTTATTTACTTCACATTGCTTCTTTCATTCATTATTCTTTTTAATTTTATATTGTAAATTGTATTTAATTTTTATTTTATAGTAGCTTTTTTATTTCATTTAAATTTTTTTTGTTTATTTAATTTAAATTAATTTCATTTTATATCATTTAATTTTATATTTTTAATTACATTGGATTTTACTTTTGTTATTCATTTCATATTCTATTTTCTTACTTTTCTTAATTTTACTTAGTTTTATTAATTTGTTATTATTATTTGTATTTATTTTATTTTATTTTATTTTGTTTTATATTATTTCAAACTTTTTTTATTGTTTTTATTACTTAAAATAGTAAATCAAAAACTTCGTTATGTTTTGCATGGTTTTATTTTACCTTATTTGTGTTTATTTATTTCTTATATTTTTTAACGATCTTTAATTTTATTTGACTAATTTTAATTTAAGTTAGTTTATAATAATTTTATTTTCCCTTTATTATTTTTTATTTAATTTAATTTTTCGTTTTGTTTTTTTGTTTAATTTTTTATTTTAATTATTATAATTGATTTTTTTTAATTTAATTTAATTTGAAGTTATATAGAGATATTTATTTAATTTAAATTTATTAATTTAATTCAATTAATTTTAAGTTATGCAATTAAATTAATTTAAATTAATTTTATTTTATATTGTAAATTTTACATAATTTTTATTTTATAGAACTTTTTTTATTTCATTTAATTTTTTTTTTTTATTTAATTTTGACTTACATTTCTGAATGTCTTTTTAATTTATTTTTTATTGGTGTATTTTTTACTTTACTAAATTTTATTTCATTTTTATTAATTTAGGTTTCTTGATTATTTTCTTACTTCATACTATTTTTCTTTTATATTACATATTTTTAGTTTATATGCGAATGATCTCTTATTTAACTTCAGTTAAATATGCAAGATCAAATTCTAAAGGCAACAGCAAATGAAGAAGAAATTATAATTTCAATATCTAATTCTAAGCTTTTAAAAAAAAATACGTGTCAATGTGTTGCTTATTTAGTGCAATTGGAGGCTCCTATATACCTTAATAGGAGTTTTGTACGTTTGTATATGAATGCAAAGCACGCTTTTTGTTTATTTAGCTGAAATGTGCATTTTATTAATTTCTTCGTATTTTTTTATTATTAATATGAAATTTTTCCTGTATTTTTATTATTATTTTGCATTTTCTTTCGTTCTTTTTCATTTTTTTTTTTCAATGTTTCAACTACGACGTAGTTGCGGCATTGAAATTTTATTTTCTAGTTTTATTTCACATAAGTGCATTTGAACAAACAAAAAATTTCCATAGATAAAACATACATAGTTACATGCTAATACACGCGCTTGCTTGTGTGCTTTTATGAACCCTTTTTGGCAAGATGTGCAATTAGCAGAGCCATTAAAATCCCGTTAAGTTAACGTTCTGGCAATACTTTTTCATGAAGTCATCTTAGAGCGATTAAATATGAGTACATTCATTGTATGTACAATACATGTGTGCATAAAAAATTTGTTTGTATCTGCTGAGTTTAGTAAAATAAATATTGAGTTTTGCCTTCGAAAGCGACTTGATTATTAGGCACCTACTACCAGCTTCTTACTGAAATGGTGAAGAAAATATGACAGTAATTAATAAAGCTATAAATCTGCTCCTATTTAGCCAGTTCAAATATTCTTATTTAGTATTTGTAAATTTTTTTTTTACATAATAAATAAATTCACAAGTAAATGTGCTATGTACATATTTATGCACATTATTTAAATGTCTTTTGTTAAGCTATTCATGTGAAAGTTATTTATTGTATTTATCTACTCACTTTTTCTCAGCTGCGACAATATTTGTATTTTTTCATTATTTTCTTATAGCAAAAAAAATTAAGTTCAGTAGCATTTAGGGGATTCTAAAAGTATCATCAAACGACGTCAAAGGCATTGTGAGATTTGCGAGCGTGATTTGTTGAGTCACAAGGAACGGAATTTAGTTTGTCATTAAATAATATTTCATGAATTTATTTCTTTGTCTTGTACTAAAAATTTTGAATATAGAACACAGTTATGCAATATATTTCAAATATTTAAGTATGAAAAATTTCATAAAATAAAATAATTGTCTATAAATATATACATAGAATCCTTTTTACTTTTTTATATATTTATTTTAATTTTTATTATTTTTACTTAATTTAGTTTAATTTTTTTCTATTATTTATTATTTTTTTAATTTCTTTTATATTTATTTTTAATTTTTTTACATTTTATTTTATTTTGTTGTTTTTTATATCACTGTATTTTATTATAATTTTAATTTTGCTTTACTTTATCAAGTTTAGTTTAATTTAATGTTATTTTTATTTAATTTTATATTATTTCCTTTTCTTTAAAGTTTTGTTTTATTTTCCTCCTTTTTTGTTTTATTTTATTTTATTTGATTTGATTTTAATTTAATTATTTTTATTGATTTCATTTTTCTGTATGATTTTGCTTAGATTATTTAATTTAATTATTATTTATTTCATTTGAGTTGATACCTTAGCCTATAATTTTTTTATGTGTGCTTTTATTGTAGAATTTTTTCAACCATTCTCAAAATTTCCTATCAGGCAGGCTCATGTGCGCCGATCAGCCGACTGTGTTAACGGCATGTGAATATCATGGTCACGGTTGCTCATACGCCTCGTTGGGCGCGCTTTCCGTCGCCGCTGCTACTACATTCGTTTATTTTGATCGTATATTTCGCAAAGAGAATGAGAGAATATGAATATACGAGTATTCATACAAGTATATACATATGTACATACATACAAATATATTGCATAACACATACATATGTATGTGTGTACGTGGGAATTAACTTTACATTTGTAGATAATTTGAAAAATTTTAAATATTTGTATATTTAAAAAAAGAGTTTGGGTTCTATTTACTGCGCCAATTGGTTTCAAATTTTTTAAATTGTTAAGTTTTTTCAAAATTTCTTTGTCCATAAATGATCCTGAAACTTTTAAGACTTGAATTTTTATGGCAACAATAAATTTTTTAAATGAAATTCCGGCAATTATTAGCACCAAGTTCTTGCCAACAAAGCAATAACATTATATGCCTTCATGCATAAAAAAATCAACAAATTGCATGCCAATTATAAAATTCATAAAATGCAAAAACAACCTCCATCAAATGTACGAAAGCAACCCACACTCTATGCTGAATAATTTTCCTCATGCAAAAAAGCAAGTAAAATAGCTCGAAAATATGTCAACCCATTCTTAAAAGATTAACCAAGAAAATAAAAATGTAAAATTATCGAGCCAAAGAAGAAAATAAAGAAAAATTAACTGCAAAAACTCATTTTAATTCAAATGAGTGGGCGAATGAATGACCAACGAATGTTTAGCAACATTGTTGCGGCCCACAGATCGTGCTCAGCGCATGCAGAGCATATGACGGGAAAAAGAGACCTCTTTGCTGTCTTTTTAAACTTTTTAATTGAATTTAAACCTTTTATTGTTAATGCAAATTTACATATAAACTACACAATTTGAGAATGGTTTCAAGTTTGAAGCATTGTTGTTGGTATTAATGCATTAAGAACACCGTCAACAGGCAGCCACTTGGCATTGGAATGAAAACTGCAATAATAGATAACTCGTCGAGTGACGTTAATGCATTCAAAAGTGATTGACAAAAGTACGGAAAACATACGTCAGAGCGATGAGCGTCAAAAGCATGAGAGCATTCTTGAGTTTCTTCATCAATTATGAGAATTTCAACGTCTCTGTGGTTTAAGAACAATAAAATAAAACGAAAAATAAACTTAAATAAAAAAAAAGAAAAAAAAATTAAATTAATATATAAAAACAAACAAAAATGAATGAAAAAAATAAAAAATAAAAAATAGATAAAATATATTAAATTAAACTAATTTAAATAAAATAAAATAAAATAAAATAAAATAAAATAAAATAAAATAAAATAAAATAAAATAAAATAAAATAAAATAAAATAAAATAAAATAAAATAAAATTAAATAAAATAAAGTAAACTAAGCTTATTGATATAAAATAAAGTAAAATAAAATAAAATCAAATAAATTAAGATTAAAAAAATAATAATAAAAATAAAGTAATTTAGAGACTTGGCTCCTCTGTTGTATCTATACAGCGTTTGCGAGTTGCAATTGGAGTCGCTAAATAAGTGGATTTTTAAACATATTTAAGCCATAGAAAGCGTGTAGGACTTTAAGTAAGTTCTTTGCTTCTTTTCTTCATAAAATCCTCTGCTTTAGGTCCTCTTATGAAGTCATGGAAGATTTTGCTTTTCGTCTCATCTTAAAACTATGAAGATTTCAATTCAACCCATTTTTATTTATAATTGAATAAATTTTATTGAAAATTAAGCGTTATAAGCGGTTCCGTAAATCTTTCCGCTCTCACACTTCACCCTAATTGTTTTCTTCCCATATAAAAATTGTATGTAATTACCAAATTGTTGCACACTCGCTTACGAGCTCATTTCAGAATCTGTCTACAAGTATTTATTATTTCGATAGAATACATCTAGTATGTTGGCATGAGCATGTTTGTGAGTTTGTTTGTATATACATAGGTACATATAACGACAAACATATTGTTATGGTTTTCCCATTGCGATCGTAATCGCACTGTGAACGCCCGCGCGTTTGACGAACCCACAGCAATCGCCCAGCTATTCCCCAATGTTTTGTCAGTGCAACAATTTGGCTGTCAGCCGGGCGGACGAAATGTCAGTCAGCCACTTGGCGGATGGATGCTCAGTCAAATGTGCAAAATTTGTCTACAAAATTGCTGCTCAACGCTCACAGAACGGCGCTATTCCACTGGCGCTGAAACAGTCGAGGACAGATTTTCCGGAAAGACGGTACTTGCGCTGGGTGGCGCGCATCACCATTGCTATGAAACGCGACGCGAAAAAAAAAATAGAAAAATTTAAATACCAAACAAGTGAAAAATTCTCGCGGACGCGTTGCGACATATCTAATTGAATTAATGCATTAATGCAATTTGTACAATAAAAAAATTTTAAAAATTGCACTTGAATTTTGTCAAAAATAAAATTAAATAAAATAGATATACAAATTGGCGACACTCGCGCGGTCACATCAGTATTTGTTGTTCGTATGCCAATTGTGGTTCAGTCGCTTATCGAGACTGGATGCGCAACAGCGCCTCCGCACGGTACGGTATTCTGGTGGCTAAATATATCCCTCCTTTACTTTTCTTCTTCGTACAAAAATTCCGCGTCCGTACGCGTTTATGTCGCACACTTTTTCGCGCTCAACGTCGGTGACCAACGTAAACATTCAAACTGAGCTCGTCAAAGCCACCGATACCGCCGCGCGCGCTACACGAGCTGCAAACATTCACAATTGCTGGCGATGACACTGGTCACAGCGGCAGTGGCGGCGGTAGCGACAACAGAAGAAGCAGTGGCAGCCATGTTTATGACAGCGGTGACACTTCAGCGTATGCGTTGCGCAGGCATAGTGGCGCGCGTGGTTCAATTGGTGGCGGCGGCGTTCGGGAAGGTGGCGCGGCTAAGGCCAGAATACGTGAGACGCGTCTATCACCAGCGGCGCTCAGCAGACGTGAACTGAAAATGGCTATGCGTAATGGCGTTGCTGCTGCTGGCGGTATGGGCAGTGGTGGTGGCGTTAGCGGTGGTGGACCGCCACCAGCTCCGTCTTCGGGCATGGGCACGGGCAATATATTGCGTGTGAGTGTAGAGTAAACGAGTGAACGAGTAAATAGTGAATGAAAAATGTGTGGTAATGACATGCGCTGTAGGGGTGGGAAGTGCGAGCTGAAGTAATTTTTTCTTCACAAGCGTTGCAGTTGTTCAAATTTATAGCTTATCATTCATTGAATGCAGCGCGCTTTGTCAAGGTCGTTTGCGCGCTATGTTTGTTTTGGAGATTTTTACGTATCCATTGGAGTTAAGAGTCCAATTTATAATTGAAGCGAGATAAAAGCTGCGGAAATCTCGAGGTTTGCAAGTCTACTGCATCTTTTTGTTGATGGAAATAAGCTCATAAGTTTGCTCTCTATCAGAACTTTGCTTCACAAGTCTGTTGAGAATTACAAGAAAATGCAGGTGCAAAAAATGACTGCGCATAGTTACAAACTTCAGTTAGGCTATAGTAAATAATACGAGTTTTTGTCTGTGAGGGACAAAATATTTCAATCGGTAATTCGAAAAGGTTTCAAAATTATTGATAAGGGTTGCAAGTTAATGCTGAATTATCTAAAAATGGTTTAATTCTTTAATATTAAAATAATTATAATAAATCGGGGTGAGACTTTATCGCTATCATGAAAGTGTTTTGTTACCTTACCGGATCATAATATTATTGCAATTAAAGTTCTCACAAATCTATTTGCTTGACCACTCAAGGCATAAGTATATTCGTAAATTTTTAGCGGGCTTTTATTATGTGAGTAAGTATCACTTCTGTAAGTAAACACTTCAATGTTAATGGCAAGAGATCTCTAATTAATACGAGTAGTAGTATATAACACGCCTTAATGATTAAGACTGATGAGGGAATATGTGCGCTGAACTACTTACAAACTACTTTCCACTTTGTTCCATGTAAGTAATTGGTATTTTTAATACGTCGATTTATTATTAATTTGGTAGTTTTTATATTCAAGTCAGAAATGAGCTAGTCTCATATCAGTTCAATACCAGTTCCATATGGACTAGTTCATTTCTGAACGCTTAAATTTGTTTAAAAATGAAAAAAGCATATCAAATTGAAAAAAAAAAATTTATTTAATATATTATATTTGCGTCGAGGGACTGAGAAAGAACTAGTCTTTTAGTAGTTCAATATGGATTAGTTCATTTCTAGACATTTACATTTGCTTACAAAATTACAAAAAATCCTTATTTAGACGATAATTGTTTTTAATCCCAAATGGGGAAAGGTACCTCACAGTAAACCTAAGGCTTTTAGACCAATAAGTTTGAAATCATTTATGCTTTAAGCTCCGCAAGCACTCGAAACCCCAACAACACAAATCGAAAGTTCAAGCTTAGTTAAAGATTACCTCTTTTTTTTTTGGATACTCAGAGCGCCGTTTACAGTTATTATACTTCCGCACTCCTTTGCTTGGGTGTCCACCTGAAGTAGAAACGTAAAGTCTGACCTTACAGGGGTATCGGATAATAGGCCTGTCAGCAGAGGAACTCCTCCTTCGTTACAAGGCCAGTCCATGTATTAGTTTAAGTGTGTATATTTCATTTCAAGTCCACTGGGAGCAGTAGCAGTGAGTTTAATCAGGTCAGTTGCGGCTATTTTCGTGTCTTTTGCTAATTAAAGTGTTTATTTAAATCTTTTGTGGGATGCCATTTTATTTAATGAGTTTGCCAAATTTAATGTTAATTAAACAAGCAGACACTCACTCGTATATGGCAAAAAATATTAAGGAATTAAAAAAAAATTAAATTCACTCTTCGCCTGCTTAATTTAAGGCATAAAGAAACTCTAGTGGTCGAACAATGGACTCAATTTTGTTTAGGAAAGTATATTTAAAAATATTATTTTGTAACAAAATATTTAATCCATGTTTTTTTGAGAAGCGTCCTCGGAGGGACCTTTTTCTTCCCAAGGATGAGACCTAGGACAGAAAAGTGAGGAGTTGTATGATCTACAAACTATGGTCTTAAGTAGTACGTACAAGATATATTTTTTAAATTTTTTTTAAAAAAGATAGATTTTTGACTACAAAAATACGCACTAAATTATTAAAAAAAATCTTACACTTTATCGAAAAACGGCTACGTAATTTCGAAAAAATGTTTTTGTGAAGCTACCATCAAATTTTCAGATGTTCTTCAGTTTGAAAAATGTAAATGTTAAATGAGGTTTCCAATGTAATTGGTGCACACTCTGAGGGGCTGCAGCAAAATAAAAAGTTCAGCATATCATTTCTAAGACCCAAAGGAACCCTGAGAGCAAAAAAATGCATTTTTCAAAATCTTAGAGTGACTTTAATTTAATATTTTTAATTGAAAACTAACTAATTCATTGATTTCATATTCATATTAATTTTATCAATTATTTTAATTATCATTTATTTTAATATTCTATTCAACTAGAATTGCTTTGGCAGCCGCAGTGCGTACTACAGAGAATTAGGATCCCGAATTATGCTGTTCAACAAAAACTATAAAATAATATATAAATTAATTTAAAAAAAAATTTGTTATTGAAAATTATTATTTTGTTCAAATTCTTGTTAGCCCTCGACAGGGTACTTCACCCTCTTCCATTGGTATATTTAGCATGAAATAAAATCTGCTCATAAAAATCCGCCATTCGTTCGGAGGCGACTTATGTACATCTTTATATAACTCAAATATTCACTAAATTTTCCTTTCAATCGTCAATTTGCCAGCAAAATTACGTCTTTTAGCTTCGCTGCTCAGTGTAGCGTGTTTTTGTTTTGAGTCTCGTGAAGTGATTTTACATATTTGCATACATGTGCATATATGTATTTCACTTTACTATTTTGATTTTTCAATTTCCGCAATGCGCTCGTGAAATCTATTTTCATTTCATACAATTCACAATTAGAACTCTTTTTCTTTGATTTATTTATCTTGTTTTCAACGTGTTTTTATTTTCTAATTCTGTCTATGAGCTGCCAAATCGTGCGGACGCAACTACTTCGCTACATAGATATATATATATATATTATATATACATATGTATATATACATATATGCGCTTATTTGTAAAAACTAAATACATATAAATACAAACATACAAAATATACCATATGCATACATAGGTATGTATAAGCATTGCACAGTGAGTGAACTTGAGTTCAAAAAAAAAAAAAAATGCTAAGGTATTTATAAATAAAAAAATTGGAGCATACGTGTATATTAAAATGAATAATTAATACAAGTAAAGTACTAGTTTAATTTTATTCATTTATAAATTCTTTTTTTTCTTAAGTTTTTTTTATTTTGTTTGTTTTCAGAAATTTAAAATTTTTTTTTTTTTAATTATTTTTCAACTAAAAATATTTCTTTGTTATTTATGAAGATGCCTTAAATTTTCAATATATTCCCTGCAGCTGTTCACCTCACTTTGCTAAATAAATTTAAATATGTTTATACATGCAAAAATACATATACACTGATATGCAGCTTTTATTTATATTACGCCTGATGGATTTATAACAAAATATTTGGCAAAAGTTAAAAATTTATTTTTGGCATGGATAAAAAAAAAATGACTTTTTTTACACAAAATGTTTTTATTTGACAAACAATTGCGCCTTATTTACGCGTTGGCACATTTAAAATTCTATATACATACATATGTATGTGTGTATATATTCATTCATAAAAGCTCATGACGTCACAACAGTGAACACATTTTCCCAATATTTACTATTTTTCTCAACGAACAGTTTAGTCCACTGACGCATTCAATGGTCTAATCGACCCTGCTTGTTTGCATACAAACACGGAGTGGTGAGTTTACCGTTGATTTTCTGTATGTATTTATATGCCAATTTTATTGTTATATTTTTCTTTAATTATTTTATTATTCTTATTTGTTTTGAATCAAAAGCTATAATGTAAACATTAGTATATATGTATACAATACATATATATGTATGAATGTGTAGATATGAAATGAAAACAAATTTATTTTCTTTTCCACCAGCTGTGGGAGGTATATGCGTCTCTACTATGTGGTTGACCACTGTAAAATTTCCATTTAAGTTGCTCATTTGCTAAAAATTATTTTCTTCGACACATATTTTTCATTTGTACAAGCGCACCTATATACGTGTACATACATATAATGTGTGCGAGTTTATACCTAAATAAAAGAAAAATGAAATATGTATTGTTGTCTTTCAACGGCTTTTAAGAAAAACACAAATATGCATATATGTATATATACAATACTTCATTATATACATACATACGAGCTCTTGTGTGCGCATCTTCATGCGAGCCCAAAACGTCAAGGTCGTTGCGACACGTATACGCTCTGTATGCCTGCTGCTGAAGTATCGACATATTTGTGGGTGAATGTGCGTCTGCAAGAGCTTTTTTGCTTATGAGAAAATGTAAATTGCAATTGAAAAGCGCAACGCCATCAAAAGTTTTATAGAACAGTGGTGGTGGAATTTAATATTAGCTGCCTCTTCTATGGGGGACAATTTTTACTACAATGAGAAAATTTTGATAGATTTGAATATAAATATCTGAACTACATGGAATTCATATTGAAGTGGGTAGCAAATTCGGTTATTATTAGTAGTTATTGACTTTCATAATAATTAAATTTTAATCGAAGCATTTCTCATGAAAAAAAACTAAAATAAAATAAAAAAAAATAAAAAAGAAATAAAATAAAATAAAATAAAATAAAATAAAATAAAATAAAATAAAATAAAATAAAATAAAATAAAATAAAATAAAATAAAATAAATAAAAAAAAAATTACATAAAATAAAATAAAGTAAAATTAAATAAAATATAATAAAATATAATAGAAAATAATAAAACAAAATTTAAAAAAATATAGAAAAATATGAAACAAAATTAAATACAATACAAATTGAATAATAATAAATAAAATAAAATTAAATTAAATTTATATTTTATGTAATATAAATATATAAAGGAAACGATAAAAATAAAGCAGTGAATATTAAGTTTATAGTCTAAAAGAAGAAGAATATTAATTTCATGGTTTAAAAATTAAGTTTTTTAGAAAATTTTCATTTTCCTACAATTGATATTATCATTTATTATTTGTCATTATTCAATTTTTTGTGTATGAAATAATTTCCACATACGCATCAGCAAGCATATTTAACCAAGTAAATTTAAAACACAAACCACATAAATCATTTTCAAACCCAACAAGTTTAAGTTGACCCACACAATCGTTCTTCGGAAACGAAGAAAATGTTGTACATACGAATTTTCGAAGACAGATATGAACGAAAATTCAAAGATACTTGCAATTAGTGGACACATACAAACATATCAGCAGCGTATTTATGCTTATACCAATTATGTAGACATGTATGTATATGTGTAGTACGTAATTTAAAAATAAGAAAGAGCAAATTTTCTTACATTTGGCTGAAATTAACGAAATTTCTTTTACTCAATTCAAATATCTTTGCAGAAAATCCCGACAGTATCGGCGAGCTATGACAACGAGACGCATACCGGTTCGAGGAGTAGCGCGATCAATTCGAGTCAACCAAAGTATGTTTCTAAATTAATTTGTGGCATAATTAAAATAGAAAAAAGCACGCCCATTTCGTATAACTTAAATTAGTAAATATTATTTTAAAGAGATATTTACGAAAAAGATATTAAAAAAATTACAAAAAAAAGTAGAACAAAAAAAAAAAATTGAAATTATTTATTGACCGCAACAGTACGTGTAGCTGTAGTTCATATTAGTGTTAGTGGTGGTGGCGGTGGTTATTATTTTTATAGTTTTCGTAGTACAAACGTAGTAAAAATATATTTATTGTGTAGTGAACTAGAATTAAATAAATAAATACAGCAAAATGTATAAAAACATTGATAATAACTCATCAACAACAATGTTTGAAATGTACCCTTCTTCGGACAGATTCATACGTCCGGATATGGTTGATGTGCCCGCTCAGCAGGCCGCCGGATCAACATTACCCTTGGTGTTGACGCGAAAGAAAGGCGATGAAGAGGATACCAATTATAATCCGTTCGAGCACCGGAAAGTCGATCATCCAACCTCGTGAGTATTAAACAAAACAAAAAACAAAAAACCAAAAAAAAATAGATAATTAATTAATAGTATTTATTAAATGATGCCATAGAAGTTTCATACTTTAACGAAAACCTTAAAGTGCTCATGAGAAGGGACTTTTTCAATGGGAATTCCTTGAATAAAAACTATATTAAATCAGGAATTTATTGTAGTGTATAATTTTAGAATGAATGATTGACAAAAGTGTTAAATGATTTATTATATACTTGTAGAATAGTATAAAATATTTTAGAAGCAATTGTTTCATAAAAATTAATTGATTAATTAATTGATTTCATTTTTAATAAGGCAAAGCATAGCAATTTTATATATTAATAATGAAAAAAATTATGTTCGAAATTTTAAAGAAAGTATAAAATGAGCTAAAAACCATCTTCAATTTATTACTCCCTTTAATATATACATACCTTTCTAGAAACAATTTATCTGAAGGCTGATTTTTCTTATACATTTTTTATACATTCTCCTTTGTGCAAAATCAAATAATAAAAAAATATATCATAAACCTTTTCACGCCAAAAGAGCTGTTGCTGTAGCAATCTCAAAAATATTCCTCCAGAGTAACAGTCCTGGACCGCATAAAAATCCAGGTCGTTCCGATACAAATGCGCCTCTTACGAGAGATATTTTTTACCGCCGTTAAATTCTTCTGTAAGACACGTGGGACTCTTGAGATTTCTACTCAAGTTCACCGAATTTACTGTTTTATCAAAGGTTTCAACCACTCTCTGAGAAATTTTATATCCATAAAGTTCTAAATCACTCTGGTTTGAATCTTGGCTATTGTAACTAACATAATGAAAACTGCTCTAAACTAAGAACGTTGTAATTCACGCATGTAACCGATGTCAACTCGCACAACGATTTGAACTAAAATAGTTTTACTACCTTAAATGTTAAAATATCAGATAAATAATCCACAAAGCGAAATCATGGCCACAATCATGCTTTTAATCATAGATTTAAGGCTATGAACTTCCCGGAAGACCTGTACGAACACACAGTGGTGTAATTGTCAAAAAAGCTAAAAGGATATTGGCGTTCGTAGAACGGTACTTCAGGGTATTCAAAGACCCTTATGTTCCTAAAGCGTTTTTCAGAAAATTAGTGCGGTCTTTTCTGGAATACAGCTCACTAATTCGGAGCCAAAGGTATCTAATTTACTCCGGTAGGATGTAATGTTTTCAAAATCAGATATTTTTGTATTTTTTGCTTTGAGAAAAATGCACTGGGACTTACAATATAACCTTCCCTTTTACAGTAGTCATCTGAAACTTATTAATCGCGCCACTCCAGCTTGCCAATGGAAGAGCTTGTTATCATTTTCAAGATCAATTATTACTTCTCTTCTCTGAATACAGTGATGGGAATCTATGCTTAAACACCGTTATAGCATCAGATCTGTTTATATGTAGCGTCCTTTCCCTGACTCTGACCAAGAACCTGGTACCATCGTATACATTTTTTTTTACCGAGCCTTAGGCAAATAGCAAAAGTTTGTGCAGTTGATTAGTTATAAAAAATCGGCTCATTTTAGTGATTATCTAAAACAGAAAAAGAAATGAGATTTAAGCGACTTACGCTCTTCTCTTAGAATGATGGATTTTGTATTTGATGGGACACCGATTTACTCTAAAGATTGATTACTGCCGGACAGAATTACAGTGACATGTGATCGTTATGGCATTAGATATTGAGTAGTATTTTGTCTCTCTCTCTCTCACTCTCTCTCTTACAGAAACGATATGTAAGTGATTAATAGCTCCTTTAAATCATCATGAATTACTCAAAACAAGTTAAGGTATAAATTATTTTTATTTAAATAAGAAATGTTGGCCAGCTTTTGTTGATGGAAAAGGTTGATGGGGTATTTAAGGTTATCGCTTTTCGGTAGAACCGAGGTACTTAAATCAATATAGACGATGAACTATTCTTTCATGAAATTCCGTAAAGTGTAAAAACAGCCGCCATGCCCAAGTGGTTATCTTTACGCACTGTCATTCTAAAGGACAGGGTTCGAGTTCTAGTTCTAGTTCGATCAGCAACCAAAATTATAGAAAATTAGATTAAATTTCGACTCTCCGAGTATATTTCTGGAATGAAATAAAAAGCTTCTCAAAGAAATCTATTGACCATTCGTAGGAGGCTAAGAATAAATTGTAGGCCTCTCCTTTTGTTAGAAAACCATCAAGACGCATACCAAAAATGGGAGGAGCAACTCAAACTAAATAATGTCAATATGTATTTAGAATATCTAAGGAGCTTTCTTAGCGATAGAGTGATCTTAAATGAGAGTTTCGGTTATCAGATTGAAAATATTAAATCGAGTCTTATTGGAAATAATGCAGTATATTTAGGTTTATACGGGTGAACGGCTATGGAATTTGTTTTGGAGAGTTTTTTATTTGCAATCTTATGCTTTCCAATTAAATTTTATTGAATCAATAAATCAAATGAATGAAAACCAATTGGATTTGGAAATAGAAACATTGATAATTAATTAAAAAAAACCGTAAAAATTAACCTTTGCCCACGCAAACAACAAATAAAAAACACCAGCAACAAAATGCAATGTAATGAAAAAAATCTTACGATAAAAGTTTTGCCAAATTTTCTTGTCAATGATCCGCCCTGATCTTGAACTTCAAACGGCCATTGCCGGTGCATGTTGGAACAGTGAAAACGAGTAACCTCAACGAAGTGACAAACAACAAATCAAATGGATTTGCAATGGACTCACATGAAAAATGGTTCGAAAAAATGCATACACGTATGTTGAAGAGCAAACAGTGATGGCGGCACTGCCGGTAATTTTCCACTTCAACAAGCTTTTCATTTTTTGAATACAAACAAAAAACAAAAAGAGAAAAAAAGAAAAAATATACACATATACACCCACACAGCAAACGGTGCATTTGAATTGGTATGCCGTAGATCGCGACACGACGTCAACGGAAATTTTTACACGGCATCGCCGTTGAAAATTTGGCACAACTTTTTCGAAATGTCCTTGGTAATGAAAAATAAAAAATAAAACGCTTTTTTTGAGACAAAAATAAATAAATATAAAGACATATTTGACTATGAGGAGCTAGAGAGAGAGAGAGAGTGAGAGGGGGAGAGAGAGGAACAGTGAGAGTGAGAGATGCATAGATATTGTCAAAGCAAATAGAATGGAAGGGAACACAGTATTTTGACACACACACACTACAGCGGCTAAGCATTTTAACCATAACGGTATGATTTGAAAGAAAAATCGGATTGTGTGAGAAATCTGAGTTTTCCTTATATTTTTCATGTGAACTTATTTATATGTATATATGTACAAAAAATATCAATGTGCAATTTGGCGCCTAGCCCAACGACCACGATCAACCCCCACACTTGCGCGCAACTGAGCGGCGGTATATGCATTGCTTTTGGCGTACCGTAGGTTGCACTTTGCACTTTACTTGAAATTCACCACTTTTTACAGCATCTTTTAGTAATTAGCGTCAGCAAAGGCATTTAAAATTTGTCAATTAAATCGATTTGTGATTTTCCATCACGAACGATTTGTGTGGGCTTTTACATATGTACATACATACATACAAACATATGTGTATATGTACATATATAGATCAGGCGCGTTTGGCATGGGCTAAGCGTTGATTGTAATTTCATTTCAATTAAAACTATTTAAAAGGTAATTGATTTTATGCCAATTGAATGATTAAACGGCTTTTAGAAAGTGGAAAATGTGATTTAGAAAATTTGTATTAAAGTTTATTTTTTAATTATTGTTTTTGTATTTTTTATTATTTTTTTTTTGTTTTTTGTTGTAAATTATAGTTATTTGTGTCTACAAGATTTATTTACATAAATTCCCTGTGTGATTAATTGTTGTTTTGCTGGCGCCGGTTGTACATTTTTGGCACAAAATTTTATTTATTTTGAACTTATTATTTCCGAAAATACTTTTATTGCATTAATGATCGAATTCAAAGTGTAGTAAGAAACTTGTAAAATTAGAAATTTTATGATTAATCGAAAATCTGCTAAATCAATTTATTTGAATAACAAATTTTTGATTAATCAGATTCAGAATGATTTATTCAAATTTGATTGAGTTCATAATTGAGGCAAGAACTTTTATTGTTAAAGTGAGAAATGTACAAATAATGCATAAAACATTTGACGATTAATCGTAAAACTGTTAAATCAATTAATCGTAACAACCAGTGTACGACTATTCAGATTCAGGTTATTAGTTGAAATCAAATTGAGTTCAAAATTTAGTAACGAACATTAGCAATGAATATGAAATCAATCAACATATTAGTTTCTGATTAATCAAGAAACTGTTAAATCAATTTATTATTCAAATCTTCGGTTAATCAAATTAAGTTTAATTAATTAAAATTTGATTGCGCTCAAATATGCTTCTATTTCAACAACCGAGGTTATGAAATTTTTTTATTGTACCTTTGTGAATTAAATGGATATTTTAAAATCAATAAGGTTCAATAAAAATATTTCGATTAATTAAATTGAGATTAATAATTAATTTTTAGTTGAGTTCAAAGTTGCAAAATATACATGTATTAAGAGAATCAGCGATCTGCAATTAATCAATTCGCATTTAATCTTTTAATTTAATTTGTATTATCAGTCAGTATTCCGATTAGTCGGATTTAGATTTTTAATTTAGTATTAATTGTTTTAAAATTTCAGAAATAAGTTTGCTAAAACTAGGTATATGCAATTGGTCAGTTTGACAAGCTTGGTTTAATCGAAACTTTCTTATATAGATTTGATAATCATATTTCGACAGAGTTGTTTGATTTTATTTACTTTGTCATTTATTAATATTTTTTAAAGTATTTTTAATTATTCTATCTGTTTATCAAAAGTAAAATTAAAAGTAAAATAATATTGTTGTTAATTTATAATGGGATATTTTCACTCAGGATGCTTAATTAATATTTTAAATATCTTTTACAAATCAAAAGAAGTATCATATTAACTAATCCCAGTTAGGGTTTGACTAGTTGGATTCGCTTTATAAATCCAAATACGATTTGAGTAACGACTTGATGTTGTGCGTTTAATCTATTTAAATTTTTTCGATTAATCAAGAAAGAAAAAATGTTAAAGCAATTAATTTTAGAATTCATTGAACGACTAATCGGATTAATTAAATCATATCTATTTATTTATTTTTCCTTTTTTTTTGCAGCATAAAAAATTTTGAATGCTTTACCATAACAGCAATAAAATTATTTTATCAGAGATTTATTCTACTTTTCAACAAACGAAACAAATTTTTTTTATTTTTCCTTGTGATTAAACAGTTTTTTGAGCTGTTTTTTGATTAATCAGTTTCTTTTTTTAATATCAGGTGTACAACTTTGCTTCCGCCGTTTTTTTTTTTCAAAATTAAAAGCTTTATTGCGAAAAAGTGCTTATAGATTTATTATTCAAAGTATTGTCCTTCGCTAGCAACAACTTTCTCCCATCTTTCCGGCAATTTTCGGATCCCAGCTCGAAAAAAGGAGTCTTCTTTTGACGCTATCCAAGAAGCAATCCATTTTCCCAATTCTTCGAAGGATTGAAAATGTTTATCTGCCAGGCCGTGTGCCATCGAACGGAATAGGTGTAAGTCAGAAGGGGCGACATCTGGGGAATACGGCGGGTGGGGCAAGACTTCCCACTTCACCCTTTCCATGATACTTTTTGACCACTTTTGCGACGTGAGGCCGAGCATTGTCGTGTTGGAGGATGACTTTGTCATGTCGCTCTTGATATTGTGGCCGCTTTTACGAAAACAAGAACAACTGGCACTGAAACGGCGATGACAATTCGTTAGGCTCTGTCCACACTCACTTTAAAGGCATTATCATGGTACATCCACCTATCGGAAAACGGCGGAAGCAAAGTTGTACACCTGATATTAAAGTCGAAGTCTACTAGAATGACTTACTGCTTAAACTTTTAAATTATTAAAATAAATATAAAATTCTATGCAAAGACATAATAAAAAAAAATCCCATTTATTTTTGAAATTTTCCATTAAATGAACTTTATTTTATGATTTCCAATTCTTGATTGAACAGCCCATGGTTAACTAATTTTGCGCTCAGTCAATTCAGTTAGATTATAAATGTAGAAAAAAGGGCAATTAATTTCTGATTAATCAATTGAGTATAATTATTGAACGATTTAATTATTAGCCATACTTCAATTAATCAACATGTTCTTTGGATCAAATATAAATTGCAAAATCAGCATTCAGATCATAATGGTCTTGTGGCTTGTAGTCTCATTGTACCACATCTCGGCAGTGATATTTTAAACTAGTTCTAAACTTATATTTTGAAGACCAAATCATATCAGTTGACTATTTATGTAGCAGCTCACAAGTAGCGATAAATATTTATTTTCAAATAATAATTTTCATTACCGTATGTTGTTATATACTCAACACTCCTGACGATACTCGGAGCACAGTTACGATAGCCGGAGTGTGTTTTTTTTTTTTTGAGTTTACCAAAGTAGCGCGGGAGATTAAATGCTGCAGTCTCGCTAAACAAAAATTCATTTTGATTTTAACTTTAATTTTTGTCCAACTAGAAATTCATATTTAAATTAACTAGTATTTAACTAGTATAAAACTGATGCATAATTGGACAATTGATAGTTTAAGATAAACTAGTTTATGCTAAAATGCAAACTAGTTGCATGCTGGATAAGAACTAGTATTTTTCCCTGTAGAGAAGCTTTTCGTAAATTTTCATTTGGTCGCGATAGCGGAGTCGTTAGTATTTGTTATTTATTACTCTCCGTATGCATTGCTTTTTTCTACTGCGCAAGAGAAAATCAACATACATAAACGAACTGATATTGAACTGGTATTTAACTAGTACGAGGCTGATATATAGTCGTACCACTAGAAATTTGATGTTACTCAAGATAAATTAAAAGTATTTTCTGAGCAGGAAACCGTCATCAGCTTTAATAAATGCTAATTTCAATCCTTTCGTAGTCCCCTATTTCCAAACATTTCCAGCGGAGTCGAAAAGAGGTATCTCAAAAACTCAGAAATATTTTCTTTAAACTTACTATGAAGTTCTAGAAGACAAGACCCGAACTCATGAGCATAAAAAAAGGTGTATGTTAACCTTACCTAAAAACCCTTCAATCTTCAAAAAAATCATTAATTCCTATTCAAAACTCACAATTTCTTTTCTTCTTTTCATTACAGCGATTTGGAAACCCTCGTGCATCTGCTCAAAGGTTCACTGGGTTCGGGTATACTTGCCATGCCAATGGCATTTCTCAATGCCGGTCTGTGGTTCGGTCTAATAGCCACATTCGCGGTGGGCGCACTCTGCACCTACTGCGTACACATACTCGTCAAATGTGCGCACATACTGTGTCGGCGGCGTAAAATCCCCATGATGGGTTTCGCCGATGTCGCCGAACAGGCCTTCCTTGACGGGCCGCCCAGCCTGAATCGTTGGTCACGCTTCATACGTTTCATGGTAAATGTTTTCCTTGTACTCGATTTGATCGGTTGCTGTTGCATTTATCTGGTATTCGTCGGTACAAATGTGAAGGCTGTATTGGATGAATATATGGATGAACCGTTGAATATACGCCTGTGGATTGTAATTGTTACCTGTCCGTTGCTGGTAATGTGCCTGGTGCGCAATCTCAAGTTTCTCACACCCTTCTCGATGATCGCCAATATTTTGATGTTTGTTGGTATTGTGATTACCTTCGTTTATATATTCGATGATTTGCCAGCGCCAGAGGAACGCGATGGTATTGTGGATGCTGTGCAATGGCCGCTCTTCTTTGGTACTGTCATCTTTGCGCTGGAAGGTATTGGTGTAGTTATGTCACTGGAGAATGACATGAAGAACCCTTCACATTTTATTGGCTGCCCATCGGTGTTGAATTTCGGCATGAGTGTTGTTATTGCACTTTATACGCTGGTCGGTTTCTTTGGCTACTTGAAGTACGGTTCGGAAACACAGGGCAGTGTTACGTTGAATTTACCAAAGGAGGACAAGTAAGTTTGTTGTAGTGTGGTGAGTCTTGGAGTTGAAAAAGCTGTCTAATATTTTCTTTCTGCAATTTCAGGTTGGCACAATCTGTTAAGTTGATGATCGCTTTGGCGATTTTCTTCACCTTCACATTGCAGTTCTACGTGCCCGTCAGCATCATTTGGAAGGGCATCTCGCACAAAATCTCTGAGGAACGCAAAAATATTAGCGAATATGCGTTGCGTATCGCTTTGGTGGTAAGTATTTGCAGACAGAGCATTTGCAATTTTTCTTTTTAGAAATGAAATAGGAAATATTCTCGAATGGGTTATGAGGTCAGATTTTTATACTAAAAATGCCGGGGGTTGGGACATAGGGCTTCGCTATCTCTAAATACCTTTGTGTGTTCGTATAAGCGAAGAGTGAGTATTATCTCACCACAACCTGGTCAGATAATGAGTAGATTATCGCTGTATCCTGATACCTGATACCTGAGACACTATAAAAAGTGGAGCCATTAAGGCTAGTTAAACTCAAAGGTTGATCACCTAACCTCTTGAATCTATCCATGAAATTAGTAGAAAGTAATAATTAGCCAAGGTTTCGAAAGATGTTGAGAATGAAGCCAAGCTTTTTGTGATTCGGAGTTCTCACTGAGAACATAATATGTAAGATAGCTACGCTTCTGCTTTCGCTAACCGCTCCAATTTCATGACAGTTTCCAACGCTTCGACTGAGAGCATTGAAATATAAATAGGTAGTTCAAAGTTTGATGATAGGATGGGAGGGGATATTATCTCACTTAACTTCATTACATGTCTTTATCAAGCTTCCAGAACATAGCCCGTGTATGCATGGGCGAAACCTTCGCTAACATGAAAACGAATAACTATTCAGGAACGGACTTTTAATTTCCCGTCACAATTTGGTCTGCATGAGAGTTCAATACTCCTTTACAACAGACTCATAACTCGGACGGACGTTAGGAGATCCTTCCAGCATCCTTGATATCCTTGTCACAGATGACACAGGAGGAAACTGTACTTCTTATTCTATATACAAATTCTTAGCGAAGTTAAGGTTTATCTAATAAAAGTCTTGGTAGGTCCATACCTTTAAGAACTAAAACCAGAGAAGCTGAACAAGCTTTTCAGGGAGTCTTCAAGACTTACTGATAGACTTTTCACTAGGTCCGATGTTACTTGAATGCGGTGTCGGTTGATGAAAGCTGTGGTCTCTACCAGACATGCTGGTGGTGGTCAATTCCAACCGACCGAGCGGACCACTCCTTATTTCCTATCCTGATTTTATTTACATTATAAAATAAGCCCTCGAGTTCTGGGCTTTTGTTCTTATATGCCAAAACTTAGGCATGACATTTTTGTTCATGGTGGGATGGGTGATGCTGGTGGCAGGAGCTCTACCAAACGGCGAGATAGCGCAGGCTTACACCACTCCGTCTGGTAAACACTTTAGCTTCCACGGATCGCCCCTCTACACAGGTAACACAGAATTATTAGCGGGGTATAGCTTTTTGGCCTCACATGTCTTAAAATTAGGTCTGACTCTTGGCAATAAATGCATGAAACCACAGAACTTGAAGAGAAAATAGATCATTTATTGTGTGAGCTGCCCAGTGCTTCGTAGAGAAATGCTAAACATACTTCGGTAGGAAAAACTGATGAGCGTTCAAGCGGCAAGAGAAAAAGAGCTAACGCGTCTCAAAGAACGGCATGTTCGACAAACTGGAGACAAGAAGCAAGAGAGGACTTTGGTCGCATGGAGTTTTTTTTGTTGGAAATACTATGGACGTGGTATCGTTTATGTAGTACTAATCAAGACATCAAATAGTCGAAGCCTGCCTAATCTAGTTGCGTGAAAGTGCCTTTTAAAACATTTTTTGGTTTCTCATTATTAGACTGAGATCCCCTCAAGTCTTCTCAATCACTAAGGATTGAGGAAATATTATACGAAGCCACTCTATCCTCTTATATGTAGGTATGTTCCAATAGCAAAGATTTTCTTCCAAGGAAGATAGAGAAAATTTGTAGATTAACCCTCGGTTCATACATTAGGTTATGATGGTTGAAGAGTTCTTGAGGCAAAATGAATTTATTATAGAGTGAAGAGTGATGCTCCAAGTCCAAGCTCGCTTTGATTCCAAGCTTAGAATTAAAATTATTTTTTTTTTTTTTGTAAATTCAAATTTATTTATAACATCTTTCTCTCTCTCTCTCTCTCTCTTTCCCTACAGATTCTGTGCGGCGGCATTGCTGTTGCGCTGCCCAATTTGGGTCCCTTCATTTCGCTAATCGGTGCTGTGTGCCTGAGTACGCTCGGCATGATCATACCATCGGTTATCGAATTGGCTGTGTATCGCGAGGAGCCCGGCTATGGACGTTTCAAGTGGCGTTTATGGAAAGATATCGGCCTGATTATATTCGGTATAGTCGGCTTTGTAACGGGCTTATATGTAAGCATACTCGAATTCCATGCCGAATTCAGCGGTAGCCATATTGGTGATAATGCCTCATAAATACATACATATGTACATATATGAGTGTATATGTTAAGTGAGTGTGAGTGAGTGACCTGCAGTATCACAAACAAAAAAAGAAAGAATAACAATAACAAAGAGATAAAAAATAATTCATAGAAAGAAAAAATTAAAATATTAAAAAGTAATAAATTATAATGTTAATAATATGCAAGCTAATAATATTCTAATATACACATAATTACATATAAATGCATATACATAGTTTTAGTGAAGTAGTTTAGTGAAAAACAATGAAAAAACAAAAACAAAAAACCTTTTAAATGCAGCTTTATATCGATTTGCATATCGTAAACGATTTTTTTTTAAACAAAACCAAACCAAAATAAATGCAAAAAGTTAACACACACTTTGTAGAACTACTTATACATACATACATATACATATATATTACCACAAACACTGTAATTTATAAGTGATTATATCAAAAAAAAAAAACAAAAATATTTATATTAACTTTTAACATTTTTAATTGAGAAACAAAACAAGAAAATCTTAAAAGCCGACAAATGAAAAATAAAAAACACAACAAAATGCACAAAACGAGTGAAAAATGTCAAAGATATTGAGCAAAAATTATGCCGTTAAAGTTACAAGCGTAGTGTGTATATGTATTGCGTTGCACTAAAACAGCGTTGATTTAGTAATGTAAGATTTTTATTTAGTTTGTAAATAATGAAGAGAAAACTAATAATGAAGAAAACTAATAATGTATGTACGTATGTAAACTTTTCACTTCAGTTGCCGCCTTAAAGCGAGAGCGAGAAAAAAATCTAATACTGAGGCTGGCCAAAGAACGAAAAAAAAAAACTGTTTTAAAAAAAAAGTAGTGGTAATAAAGTAGTATTTTTTCATTTGTTCCTTCGCCGGTTGCGTCGCAACGTGACCAACTGGCGATTATCAATTGGTCTGTGAGGTTTTTTTTACAAACAAATAAGAATTTAATTTTATTTTTAATTTTTTCAATTTACATTAATTAACTAAACATTAAATAATATACAAAGTATTGACCTTGTGTGGTTTACGTGGCTGTTAAAGCAGATTATTTAAAGAAAAATTAAATAATTTGCGTATAATTGTGTAGAAAACAAGAAAATGATGAAATGCTTTAATTGAAAATTTTGATTTAAAAAAAAAGGTGTAAGCAAATTATTTAAGCCGCATTGTGACACTGTAGTGATTTTTTAAAAGAATTAAATTTTTTTTATAGAATATTTTTTTTTTAATTATTTAAAAAAAAAATTTTTGTTATAATTTTTTTTACTCATTATTATTTTATTAATCATATTTTCTTAAATTTCCTTCTCAAATATATTTTAAATTTCTTCTTACATTTTTATTGACCTTTTAACGTTTTTTAAAAATATTTTAATTTTTTTATTTCTCTCATATAATTTTTAACATTTTCCTCATATTTGTTTCTTTCATTCCTTCTTTTTATTATTTTTTTCTATCTAATATTTTTGTTTTATAAATTATATTTTTTTTTAATTTCCTTCTCACATATCTTTTTAATTATTTCTTATATTTTTCTTGGACTGTTAGCTTTTTTTTTAAATATTTAAATTTTTTTTATAATATTTTTCTCATATTTGTTTCTTTGATTCCTAAATTTTTTTAAATAATTTTTCAATATTGTTTAAAATTTTTTTTCTTGTAACTTAATATTTTTTTTTAAGTTTTTCAAACTTTTTTTTAAATTTTTTTTAAATATTTTATTTCTTTTTTGCCAATTTTTTTCTTTTATTTTAATTATCAGTAGATGCGTGTGTGGTTTTCCCAAAAATGCTTAAGGAATTTAATTAATTTGCACAAAACTCACTTGTACAGCGCAGTGCAGACATATATACATGACAAAATTTGCAAATTAATTCAATGAGCGGAAAAGTAGAAATAAATTTACTACTAAATTTTATTTATTGCAAATGTTCCTAGAAATAGCGCTATTGTGTTGTTATTATAAAAAACAAAATTTTCATAAAATAATAAAAGATTAATATGTAGTTGTGCCATTTTAACACTTATCAAGCGACAATAAGTCAAAAATTGGCAACAAACATTTTTGTTTCATTAAAAATTGCATTAAAAATATATTAATAAAGTAAAATGAATGAATAAAAATATACCAAAAAGACTAAAAGAAATAAAATTGTAAAGAATATTCTAAAATATATTCCAAAGCGAATGCTACTAAATTCAAAACTCTACAAAATTCAACAAAAAATTCAAGCATTCGTTACAACGATTAAATTTTCAAAAAAATTGTTTTTCTACTCAGTAATATTTCAGCTCAAAACGTATTTAAAAATATCCAGCAACAGTCCAATTTAAAATAACAGTGAAATTTAAAATAGTTCCCAGAAAAAACTCTACAAAAATACGCAACAATATTTTAACAAAATGCATTAGACAATAAAATCTACGAAAAAAAAATCTTGAAAAAAGTAAATTTTCTTCAAACATTTTTTTCCTTTAAAATTATATAAATATCGAAAACTCCATAAAAAAAAAAATTTTAAAACCATATATATTTTCCATAAAAATAAAGAAAATTGTTTAACAAAATATCCAAAAAGACCAAAAATTTTACAAAAAACATATTCTAAAAAAGGCTTTTTCACTTCAAAACTGATTTTCATTGGCAATAAATAATATGCTCATTTAAAAAAAAAAACACCTTTTGTGTAAATAAATTCGTATACACCGTATACATATGTATACATAATTACAGTTAGTTAGCGCATTGTACAATACACTAACGAAAGCCTAAAGTTTTTAGAAACGATTTTATGAAAATTGTTAAAAAAATCTGAAAACCAAAAAACCGGAAATGCGTTTGATACGTTTTTTTGTATCAAAATGTTATTTCAAGAACAAGCTGTGCTATACATAAATACATACATAACATATATTATATATTAATTTAAGTTGGAATGAACAACAAATACACAATAATATAGTTTAACGGTAGTTTTTTTTGTTTGTTTTTAATATATATTTAAGGATATTTTTTGATTTAATTTTCTGCAATTAACCAGCATACATACATACATACATACAAATAATGATTTATTGTTTTGTTTCTTGCCGAAAATTTAAAGTTTTACCAAAAGATTTTTTTTTTTATTCAAATTTAAATTTATAAAAAAATGTACCCAAACGGCATTATTTTAAAGCAACAATTACTATTTCTCAAAAAAAAAAACCTAAAAATAAAATAAATATTAAAACAAATTATTACTTATATTTCTTATTATGATTTTATTTTAATTCAGTTACAATTACAATTCATTTTCAAATAAAATTAGTTTTAAGAAAATTGAAAAAAAAATAAGTCGTGTTTTTATTTAGCTCAAACGAGGCCAAGTACCATATATAAGTAAGTATGTAATTTATCTTATACATCTAGACATTACTTTTACTTGTGTACTGAGCTTCCACTAGTGGTTTCATGGGACTGCTAAATTATCACTTTTTTCAATAATTTCTATTAGCTTTTTGTTGCCGCTGTTAGGCAGACAACATTCTCCTATCCACCCGCTTGACGGCGGACACTTAAAATTCATCTACTCATTGTCATTGTCCACTCAGTGAATCTATAATAATATTATATATATTATTATTTTATAATTATTACAGATTCTCTGGTCTACTTCTGTGTATTTAAATTTTTGTTGTTGTTATTATGAGTTGTGTTGTAGTTTTTGCTTTCAAATATCCGTAGTTGCTAATTTAACGGCTCTTAAAATAATAATTTCCCCCAAATGGGTTATTTTCATCAGTATGAATCAGAAATGCCTAAAAGTATGCAGCAAAAATATAAAATAATATCAGTGAGTCTGTTTCCATTTAACCCTGCAGGAAAATGTTCAAGCAAGTTAAAATTTAATTTTCACTGACATATAGCGTCATACATACATACATAAATAGATGGAAGACATATTTTATAATATATACATATATTTGTATATATATAAATCAAGAGCTTCCCAAATAGCTAAGGTAAATCTTCTTGGTTTGTAAATTGAAATTGAAGAGCTTTGTTGCAGCGCATGAAATCTAAGCGAGATTTTAATGAATTTTTTTTTTTCTAAGGCGCCTGTATGGGGTTCCTAAGCCGTTTCGGATAGTGGACCAGAGACTAACCTATTCAAAAAATCGTATTCATGGTTCAATTGGCTTCAAATTCGGTAAATGGGTGGATTTTTGCTTAATCCTCTTCTTTATTGACGTGGAACCCGCTTACCATATCATACCACATAGCCATTTCAACAATATTCGGTTCTTCTCTTTGCTGGAATGGGGAGGCTTTCTTCCTCCTCTTTTACCTCTAGTACTGCATCGAACACATTCAAAGCTGAAGTGCTGTCATTCATACGGCAAACATGGTCTAGCCAACGTAGGCGCTGTTTCTTGATTCACTGAACTATGTCAACGTTTTTGTATAACTCGTACAGCTCATTTTTCCATCGGTTCAATGAACTATAAATCTTAAACAAAGCCTCTCTCTCGCAGATTCTTAGGGCCGCCTCACCGGATATCGACATCGGTAACGCTTGTGCGCCATATAGTAGGACGACAGTGATGAGTAACTTGTAGAGTTGGGTTCTGGTTCGTGGAGAGAGGACTTTACGTTTCAAATGCTCACTCAGTCCAAAGTAGCAACTGTTGGCAAGAGTTATCCTCTATTGGATTTCATAGCTGACATTGTAGTTGGTGTTAATGATAGTCCCTTGATGAGCGACTACAAAGTTTTGACGATCAACAGCGAAATGGGTGTCGAGTCGCGAATGTGATGACTGTTTGTTTGATGAATGGAGATATTCGCTGCGCTTCATTGTTTTCCACAGATTTGTTACATGATGAATATCTGATGAATATCCTCAAATCGTGATCCTAAAAAAAATTGCATGGACCGCCCTTAAAAGGGAGTCTCCTATCCGAGGCAGTTTGCTACCTTTCATTCAAGTATATATTTCATTTTATGGCGGTCGCGATAGCCGAGTGGCTAGCATTGCGTACTTCCATTCGGAAGACTGGTGTTCGAGTCTATACATCCAAAGTTATAGAAAATTAATTTAAATAAATAAAAAAAAGTTAGATTAACTAACTGCAGTCACCCCTCGGCAGAGGTTGTCAACCCCTCCGAGTGTATTTTCGGGAACGAGCTAAGGGTTTCAGACTAGGAACTTGTTTCTTGGCGCAGAAAGGCTACAAAATGTTGAATAGACCATGGCTAAGGGGTCAGTATGACTAGAAAAGCAAAATTCTGCCCACTAGAGACACAAAAGGGGTGTAGTAGTATAGCTCGATCGCATGTATTGCAGCTGGAAATACTATGGATGTGTTATCGTCTATGTGAGACCTAATGGGTCAGCCAGTTAAACATTACCTAACTATGTTCTAAAAATGAAGTAACCGCTCACCAAATGTTTCCTTCAATAAATTGGTTGTTTCCTTGGCTCCATGGCATATAGAGCCACCATCTGGTTAGAACTTAAGGTCGGGCATATCAACATTCTTCAACTTATGCTCGATAAAGACTTTAATTATGGCTCTAGAGCGTCCCATTGACTGTGGGCTCGCTTCATTTTTGAAGAAATATTACAGACCAATCATTCCTTCTGCAAACAGCTCAGCCCGTACAGCGATTTTTGGGCAATAATAGCTTGCGGATTACCATCACTCCAAAGGTGACTATGTTTTTTTTTTTATCCACGTACGCATTCAACCAAAAGTGAGCTTCAACACAGAATAAAAATGTCTTGGGTCCACTCATCGAACACCCGACGCGCTCGTGTTGGCTTTTG